TTCATGTTCTTGTTGAATAACTACTTCAAACACACAATTTATTGAAGGCAAGGGTTCAATAAGCATAATTTATGATTTGATAGCTAAAAAATGCTCATTCAATCCATTGAGAAATTGAGTGACGCAATCTTTTTAAAGATATGAGCATGTATTGGTAAGAGCTTAGCAAAAATAAGAAAGAGAATAGGGATAATGAGAAAGCATATGAAAATTGGTTAATTCATCCTAAACAATCTTCAATCGAGTGAAATATTTTGTGACAAAGAGAATCACCTTGCTTGAACTGATAAAGTTCCTCTTGAAGTTCACAAACCTAAAAAATATCACCCTGATTAGACCAAACTTCATATGCTCGATCAATCCATGTGATGCTTTGTGCAGTTGTCAGCATTAATGATTGCTTGAGCTAGGTAAGGCCGAGATTGTTGCAATGCTACCATGGCAAGAAAAGCATATCCGAAGTTCTTAGTATAGGAAGACTTCCATGAACAAGTTGAAACTTGTTCTTAGATAAAAGGACCATCTTCATAGCCCGCGCCTACTGATGATAGTTGTCACCATCAACACTGGATAAACAAGAAGCAATGCCAGATTTTCATTTGGATGAACATAATAGCAACTAGCTAAATCAGTAGAGGGATTGGTATATGAGGCCATAGGGTTAAGGTTTAATGGCATGAAACAAGGCAAAGAGAAAAGGGTAATCTCATTAGCTCTGTTACCACAATAGAATTTGTGAAAATAGTAACTTATCTTATTAATTCCAATATGAGATATATTTATACAAGAAAAAAAAAGATCTATCAAGATCGATAAGAGATTAAAATAAATATCTATCGAGATCTATTAAAGAATATAATAATAATGGAAAATAAAATAGTTATAATCACCTTAACTATATAAAATATATACAATCAAAAATATAATATTGTCCTATGCCATTACTCGAGTAGAATGCTTTAATACCCCAATTTTAAAGGCTTTACTCCTTATTTTAACTTAGGTGTAATTGAAGCATGTCACCCGTCCATTATTTATATTGTTCCTTCTATAAATTTCTGGTTGAAAGTCAGCATCCTTATAGGGTTTACCCTTTTCATATATATTCATGCTACTAGAATTTGTTGATGAGGAACTTGGATAGACGTTGGCAATGTGGAAACCAAATTGATGTGACCACAACAAGGGATTCAAAATGATCTAGAAAATGTTCAAAGTCTTGGTTTATGAAATTGCTGGAATTTTCTTGTGTATCAAAACCAATTTTTTGGTTTAATTTGCATGTGAAGATTTGTATCAAAGCCAACTTCAACATTTCAGCTACTCAATCATTAAAATGGTTATAAAACACCTTTTTATACCACAATGATTATAAGATACTTGAAGCTTGTGTATGCGTAAGTTACTCGGTAGAATTTATTCTTTATGACTAAAATATATAAAACCTCTCTAAATTTTAAAACAATTGTATATGACTTTCCTCATATTTAAACATTTTAAAGTAACTCTCCTAACCCTTAGTTTTTATTTTTCAAACCCCCCTTAGTGTTAATTAACTCTATTTTATTATAATAGAGTTTGTTATGTCATATTAATCAAATACATATGGCATAAGACATAAAAAATATTTTTATTTTTTTAACATGATTTAAGGAGGGGAAAAAAATGCAATTTTTACTTTTAATGTATATTGTGAATAGTCTCATTTTTTTAAGTTAAGTGACGTTGTTCTCATTTTCCATTGTTAACACGAGATAATAGAAAAACTATAATTTTATTAGTCTTTATCATTTAAGCTTATATTAAACAAATAAAAAAAATCTGAAAGATATCATTGATAGAAATTATATAAATAAAAAATTTATCCTTTAATACAAAAATACTATGCACCATTGATAGCAAAGAAAAATATGGATAAAACTAATACAAAAGTAAATATTTAAAAATAATATAATTTTTATAGTTTATTTGCTTACATAAAATTCCATGCAAGTTTTTATGTGGCTTTTCTTAATTTGACATGACAAACTCTATTAATAACAAGTAGAGTTAATTAACAGTAGGAGGTTTTGAAAAACAAACTTAAAGTTAAGTGACTTAATTTTAAACATTTAAATATGAGAAATGTCATATACAATTGCCTTAAAATTCAAGGAGTTTTTATGCATATTAAGTTTCTTTATATATACTCGAGCCAACTTCAACTTTTTAGTCCCGAGTGCATGCAAAGATGGATCTAGAGTTTTATAGTTGGGGGCTTAACTGAAAATAAAATAAAAATTGGGGGACCAAAATCTATTTTAAACTAATTTACAAAGAAAAACAAAATTTTTACTAAAGACTCAATGATGTGTAGGTGGCAAGAACCCTTCCTTGTCCTCCTTAGATCCATCTTTGTATGTTTGTGTACCCAAATCTGATAGAAGTGACCACTCTTCTTATGTTCGCCATATTGAAATTTAAAATAAAAAAAAATGTTGAGGTTGGCCAATTAGGTTTGTCCTCATCATATAAACCTTTGTCATACTTTAATTTGTTTCTCAATAACATATTTGGTTTGCAAGAGTGAGAAGATAAGCTTAGACAAGTCTAATGAAATGCCTAGAAATATAAGAATCACGGTTCTGGCAAAGAATGAAAGGACACACGTCATAATTGATGCACTTTTGGTCTGCAAAAGTGAAGTAAAAACAAGTCCTACAAATGATTAACACCCATCTGCAATCTTCAATACTATCTGCTTTTGTATACTATCATATCCAGATGAATTGCTAGTACTAGCAACCCTATATTCTTCAAGCACATGAGCAAGTAAGTATTCAGTTTCTTCGACCATGGCATCCTCACCCCTCACCCAAGGATGCCTTTCCATAGCAATCAATCCCTCCAATTCCATTGCTACTTCCTTCATAGTCGATCTTTCCTCTCCATTAACTTTAACACACCTCATTGCCAAAAAAGAAACTTCTTTCAACTGTTTAGCATTCTTCTTCTGATCTAACAATCTCCTATCAAGAGTTTCCCATAGATGGTCTCTTTTTAAGGAAGACTCAAAGCATATAGCCAAATTCATTGTTCTAGTCTACTGAATTCAACTGCTTTGTTTCCCATAAGTAGTTCCACTAGCACAATCCCAAAGCTATAAACATCACTCTTCTCATTTAACTGACCAGTGTGGAGATACTCTAGATCCAAGTATCCAAGTGTTCCTTGCACTATCGTGGTAACTTGAGTTTCATCAAGAGGGACAAGTCTTGAAGCACCGAAGTCTGACACCTGTGCTCTATGATTGTGGTCTAGTAATATGTTGGTAGATTTTATATCTCGATGAATAATTGGAATAGAAGTTGCAGAGTGAAAATATGAAATGGCTTCAGTAGTTTCTGCAGGCAATCTTTAATCTAGTCTCCCATGAAATAGAGCATTCATTCTTTGATGGGTCAATGTGCTCAAGAAGGGTGCCATTATCCACAAACTCATAGACTAACAAGGGAACATCGGTTTCAAGACAACACCCTAAAAGTTTCACCACATTTCGATGATTGATTTGGGAAAGCACAACCACTTCATTGATAAATCCTTAATTTGTCTAGGATCCCATCCTACTCAGGACTTCTTAATAGCAACTAGCATGTTGTCAGGTAATACACCTTATAAATTGTGCCTTGCCCCCCACAACCAAGGATTCTATCTTCATCAAAGTTGTTTGTGGCATTTTGAAACTCAACTTGTGTAAATATTTTGGTTCTGTCAGTGTATCCTTGTTGTTGTGAAAGTCTTTGTAGTGGCATGTTTCCTCCATTTTGCTCAAAATTTCTTTCCTTAATTTGTTTCAGAGTTCTTTGCTTGTGTGCCCAACATAATGTGGAGACTAGCATGAAGCCAATCAACAAAGTTACACCAACAGCTGCAACCAATGTAGTCCATAGTACAATTTCAAGTAGGAGAAAAGATTTGAATTTTGGCAAATAAATATATGCAAGAAGTATATTGCTATGTTTATTTCTATTTGCTCCCTGCTCCAATCCAATGCCCATAATGTACCATACCATCACTGGAATAAATAAATCGTACTGAGAAATTAGGAAACTCTATTATTAACTGGATACAACTCAAACAAACTGAAATAGCAATAGCATTTTTGAAAAGAGGGGTGTTGTACAAGTGTTTTGGATGAATTTACATAAACATGATGGACGCAACGCGAGACAGAGTATTTACTATTTAGAGTCCTTTCGCCACGCAAGCTTCCTAGATAATTTAAAAAAAAAAAAAGCCTTCCTATTATTGAACAAAGTAAGAAAACAAAAATTCCTCGTTGTAATATAAATAAAAACTATTTTATGATGGAATTTTTCATTTTTAAAACTGAATCCAAAACAGAAAAACAGAGTCCATGACATTCTCACCGAGTGCTATTATAAGAATAAGCAAGTTAGGATTAGATTGAACGGGAGTGTCCAAAGTGCAGCTAGTTCCATTAACGTAGCCATTGCCTTTATAACCAGGCGGACAAGAACAGTTGTAACTGCCATGGAATTGGGGCACTGCGCATGAGCGGAGATACTGCAATTATTGGACTTGGGATCATCACACTCGTTAACATCTGAAAGTACAATTCAGGGGATCATGAAAACGTTAATCACGTAGAAAGGAAACGATAGAGTACATCCAAATGGAATCAGAATTACCCTAACACCCGTCCGGATAGATGTATGGATTTCCAGCTTGAAAGCCAGGCTTGCAAAATCATCTGAATCCAAATCCACTGATGGAGTTCTGACAAAAGGCGTTGGAGGAGCATGTAGAATTGGAAGCTTCTCGGCAAGCACCCAAGTCTGGAATCTGTGGATCCACAATAGACCAATCTAGCACGAGCGTGGACATGTTGAATGGGAGGTGCTCCAGATAATGAGGAGAGAAATTAAAGGAGCCTTGTTTGGCAACAAAAGCATAAACTGCAGTTGTTGAAGCGCCACACCTTTTTATGACCGTTGAAGCTAAATGATTGAAAAGTGGTGTTTCGCATTCGAGGAGGAATATCGATTTGGCAACACCCAATTCCGGAGCAAGTTTCGCCGGCGTTCTGTTCTTGTGTGAGGAGCTGGTTGCATCGCGACAAGCAGCCGGTGGAATAACTGTGTTCGTCCTGGAAACTGTTCAAGTAGCCGTAACTATCACAACCTACACTCAGGAACTTGTTTGCAGAGCTAGAAATGGGAAAGCAGTGATGGCGAGAGAGGAAATAGAGTGGTCAAGATCCTCTACCACATGCCCCGATTCATTGTAACAAATCTGGAAGACATACATGGAGATGTCCATGTGACCGTCGAGGGATATGTTGAGGACTTCGATATTTGAGGAGTCGAAATACAATTTGGAGTTGTAACAGGTGAGACTGAAGTATTGATTCAGAAAGCAGCCGTCTCCAACGCCAAATGGATATGGAATATCCTTATCTCCGCATTTGCGAAGGCAATGACCATTCTGGGATGGTCGAGCTTCACCAGCTGCTGCTATGACCACTAACAGAATCACCGTCGCCTGAATAAACCCCATCATCTGATACAGTTCTATTGATGCAGTTCTTCTACACAGCATAGACTGTATATATAGATGAGGACGAGCTTGCATTTCATGGCCACGCGTACGTACGCACGATTCACTTCACGTGGATGCATCCATCCCATGATCCCATTCCACGAAAGAACGAACAGGGCCCAACGGAGAGACTTTGAACGAGTCAGTCAATTCCAATGGAGCTTAAGAAATTAAATGACGCCATGCCTATCATTTTCTTCCAGAGTTATTGGTGATTCTATTTGAGATACCTATAATTCTGCGCCAAAATTTGTGATCTGCCTTGAATTCATGCCTTACCATTTCAGAATTTATTTCTTCGATGACGTTTATTTTTTTATTGTTATATTTGGTACACATGTTACATTGTTTGATTATCCTTTTTTTTTCTCCACAGCATATTTTTTTAATGTAATTTTTATTATTTATAAAATCATTTTGAAAAGAATTATTCATCTTTATTTCAAACTATTACCCGTTACTTCTTTTAAATGAATAGCACTGATAGTAATTATTAAATTGGCATATGAAAGACTGAAAATAAACGACAAATAAAGAAAGCGAGGGATAGGGAAAAAATAGGCACAGAAAAATTATCCTAATTTAACCCTGTTAAATAAGTGCTTATGCTCAACCCTTTTGAGATAATTTAAAGATTCACCCTTCTATAAAATCACCAAGTACAATCCCAGAGGTCTTACACTCACTTTCGTGTGCAACCCAAGGCTTCCACAGCCAACCTTGAACTTAACACATTTTAATTTTATTATGCAACTCACCCAAAACATTTTATTTCAATTTTTAATACTACATTTAATAAATTTTAAACATTACAGTTTCTTTCATGATTTTGTATAATTTTTTCATTATTTTAAGTCTCCACCGTAATACAATTTGTTGGGACTTTCTCAAACTTTTTTTAATATTCCAATTTTTGTATACATTTCATTGTCAATTTTGAATTTTTGTCTACAGTTAAACAAGGTTTAAATTTGGGAAAATGACAACAATACAATCTTTTCAAATATATAAAACAACATTTTAATCATTTGAAATGTCATAATTCTCCTAAAGTTCTTGGAGACTTTTTTGTTATTAAGAAATTAAAATAAAGAAGAATGGTTGTAAATCTTAAAATAAGACTTGTAAATGGCAATTGATATTTGCAACACTTGATGAATATCAAAATTTCAAATGCAAACTTGTAAATTATTATTAAATTTTTATGATTTTAAAAAGAAAAGTTATGAGTATTAAAACAAAACTTGTGAATAGAAATTAATATTTACAACATTTAAGAAATATATCAAGATTTTAAATGAGAACTTGCGAATTGTTGTTGAATTCTTGCAATTTTAAAAATAAAAGTTGTGAATCTTAGAATAAAATTTGTGAATGATAATTAACATTTGAATTAATGATAATTTGATCATTTATATTAATTTTTTAATGACAGAAAAATCTATAAAATTTTTAAAAAATTATGACATTTTGAGAGATTAAAATATCATTTACATGATTTAGAGAGATTTTATTATTATTTTTCTTTTAAATTTTAAATTAAAAGAATAAATAAAATTTTACAAATAATTAATCAAATTAATAATTGTTTTACAAATAATTATTCGATATATGTGTGGGGCCGGGGGGCCACCCAAGGGACATTCCGTACTTGTTATTGCGAAATTAATAGGCTCTTGACTTCAAGATGGAAGTCTCCCAGACGTCCGGTGATGCTCATGAAATTAAAAACAAAACAAAATTTATGATTGAGTTTTATTATTTTTAGTATGTGTAAAATTATTTTTTTAAAAAAATTATTAATAATAAAGTTTTTAAAAACTTTATTAATATTATGACATTTTAAACAATTAAATTATTATTTATATAATTTAAAAATATTTTATAAATATCAAAAGATCGATGCATGATACACGGTTACAGGAATTCCAACTATCAGATTTGGCTTAGACTGATTGTTTTCCAAACCATTAATTTTTGTGATGTAGTTCACATACACACGGTTACAAGATATTTGAGATGTAATTATTGTGATGACCATTGCATTGGCATGTATTCCGTCTGTTTAAAAATATAAAATATTTTTAAAAAAATTAAATGTTTAAAAATATAAAGTATTTTTAGTCTTTTGAGGTGTAATCATTGTCTTTTTTCTAAAAGTGTCCCTATTAATAGTGACTTTATATTTATTATAGGGTGTTTAATAAAAGTCATTATGAAAAAATAGGGTTAGTTTGAAAGTAGTTAACTATTTTATTGGAAGGTGAGATTCGGTTAAAAATATCTTATATTTTTGAATGGATGGAGTATTTGTAGTGAACTAGATTGTGGGCCATCAATGAGGCAAGTGACTCAGAAACTTCAATCACTTTCTAGTAAGTTGAAAATTCGGGCGGGCTAGGCCTATTCAAACTCAACCTGAATAAACCCAACCCGAATAGGGCTGAACCTAAACAAGCCCAACTATTTGAAAAGCCTGAATAGTAAAACTTGACTAGAATTCCTCTGCGCTTCAAGAGGCACGAATACCTAAATTTTTTAAAATTATTTTCATTTAATTTTTTTACTTTAAAATTAATTATTTTATTTTATAAAAAATATAAGATATATCTTTTGATACTTAAACGGTGAATGGGACTCAAATATATGATATTTTAGTATAAAATAATATGAAACTTAAAGAATTAATTAATATTTATTAAATTTTATATATTTTTTTAAAAATAAAATTTTTTATCTGGGTATTTGGGCCAAGTTCGAATCTAATTGTGCTTGGCCTGAATTTCTTTTGGCTAGGCCTGAACATAAGAAAATATCTTTTTTTTAAACTCAGTCCTAAAATTTTTCAGGCAAGTTCCGGCTAGCCCATCGGGCTTGGCTCGAATTATCGACTCTACTTTTAGACCACTTTTCATAGTTCCATTCAATAATATTTCAATTCATCCCCTCATGAGTCAAGATATAATGGCATAATTTCATGTGAATTTATATTTGGATTTAAATTTGAACTAAATTACCTACTTGAATACATAAAAGTCTTTGAATTTAGATTTACATGTTTTATTAAAATTTATTTATAATTTTAAATTCCATCTAATTCTTAATTATTTGAAATTCTAGTTACTTTAACATTCTTGTTTTCTTTACATTTTTTTATCAATGCTTTTATTATGCTCATCACTCATTCTATTTCTTCTTCTTGCCTCTTACCGATTGAAAGATAGAAGTAACTTTATCAGTTTTGATCTTTTATTTTTGTTGCAAATTTTATCACGTCTATCAATTCCTTTTACAATTTTTTACACTATTTAAATAAAGAATTTTAAATGTGAAATTTTTAATGCAAATCCATCAATTCCAGCGCTATCCAATTGCATGTTAGCTTGTTTGAGATAGTAGAAATCTGTAAATTACTGCTATGGTGATGGAGATGGAATTTCCTTCTTTCTTGTCCTCAATTTAGAGATTATGTGCTTTCCTTTTAACTTTGTTTCCACTAGAGCCAGAAAAACAGGCCGAGCCCGTCGGGCTAGCCCGTTTAAGCTCGTATAAGAGTAGGGCCGGGCTTGTAAATAGAACTACAAAATGATAAATCGGGCTTAAACGGGCCGGCTTGTTTAAGCCCGTTTAATCTAGGGCTTAAAAGGGCCGGCCTTGTAGGGTCGAGGGCCAACTCGTTTAAGCCTGCATATGCATTTTTTTAATTAATTCTCAAAATTTTCACTCTTTTCAAATTTGAAAAAAATTAAATTAAATCTTACTCGACATCACATATTAGCCCATATTTACTGAGGATGGAAGGCAAAAAAAAAAGAAGGAAAAATAACAATGAAGAATCACTGATCAAAAATTATATCAATCAAAGATCACTTGTTGTCAAAATTCGAGTAAATACTTGTGAATTCGAATTAGCCTTTATCAATAAGTATTTATTTAGATTTTAATAATAACTCATTTTAAATTAACAATAGTTCATTGTAGCTTGTTTTTCATTCAAGTTTTGACAACAATTGATTCTTAATTGATATAAATTTCATATAGAAATCCTTGGCTACTATTTTCTAAAAAAAAATACAACCTTAAATCCCCTAATTCATCTAGATCCATGATAATGATTCATTCAGTTCAACATTTACTCTTCTAATTTTGATTGGGTGTTTGTCGGCTTAGCCAATCCATTACTTATTACATTGCTATTATTTTATTTGTGTTTTTAGTTCATTTAGATGTTATTTAGTTAGTTTTTTTTGTACCTTTCTTGATTGAGTATTATATTAAAATAAAGTAATTTTTTATTTGATTAAAAAAATTTAAAAAATAAAAATAATTAAAAAGGTCTAAAGTCCGTAGGGCCGGCCCTGAGCCCGCTATGTCAAGGGTCGGGCTTCAAATATCAAGGTTCTAAAGGAAACTCGAGTTTAAAAGGGCTGACCTTTTTAAGCCCGAGCCTTTCAAGGGCCGGCCCTGTTTACCAGCTCTAGTTTCCACTATGATTATGAACATTTTTACTTTACATCAAGTAAGCAGGCAAATAAAATATTGGTGGAGAAATTATCATTCGATGAAGAGTCATGGGGAACAACAAAATGAGTCACAATGATTTTCCCATTCATGACAAAATATGAAAATGATGAAGATTGTTAATTATGGTTGTGAAATAAATTTCATATTTTTTTGAACAAAATTATCTTGGCCAAGCATAGAACTAAATACAAGCGTGTTGGATGGGTTCATGGAATTTAATATAAAAATGACATGTAGAAAAATGAGTGTTTAAAGTCAGTTGTTTTTTTGGGGCACAAAGTCAGTGATTACATATAGAAAAGTGCAGTCATCTAAGTCAGCCAATGTTATGCTTAGAGGAAAAACGCACATTGGAGTTTGGGAGCTTTGGTTTCTAATCTTATTTTTTATTTTTAAAAACTATTTTATAATATAATTTTTATTTTTTTTCAAAACAAAATAAAAAAGTGATTTGGTTATGTTATTTTGAAAATAAT